GAGCCGGGCTGGCCATCCCCGGGCGCGCTCGGCCTCCGGGCAGCCACTGCCGGCTCGCGTGCCCACCGCCGGCCCGCGCGGGGTAACGTCTCGGTGCCTACTTTTCCGTCGTGCTGGAGGGAGAGGGGAGCCTCCTAGGATGCGGCACGTCAGTGGGGAGATCCAGAAATGCGGCCCCTGGCAAAGAGATCTGTACCCCTCACCCCGTACTTTTGAGTTTGGGGTTCCTCCTCAGTTCCAGCCTCTTCCGTTTCGACCTGGTGTGTACACCGTCGCCCGCCTGCACTATCAGAGCGGATGGTCTGAGACCCAGCGCGGACGCTACCGAGATGTAACTCCAGGAAGTTGCACACACTCGCCTGCGCCCTCGACACCACAGTGGGAGCTCAACGAAGTCCTGCTTCCCCCCACCCCCTTTTCCCGGGCTGTTGGAACCTCGGCTGCAACACCGCGTCCACACCTCCTGAGCTCCACGCGCGTACTTGTTGCGGTGCACGCACCTACGGTGGGTGGAGAGCTGGTGGCTTTACCTGAAAATACTACTTAGGTGTTGGAAGTTCTTTTCACCTGTGCGCCCAAGTTGGATTGACAGGAAAATGTGTTAAGCAACTGCGCCACCTAGCTTACCCTCTTCTCTCCCCTTCAGATTATCCAGGACAGTCAGGACAGAACAGGCTGCTGCAGAATAGGCCAGAGTTTAAAGACCGACATACTGTCCTTAGTTTCTAACGGGCCAACTTTAGGGATTCCAGCCCCATTTACACATTTGTCACCCTTTATGGGAGAAAACTCATTTTGGGGGGCATCTTGCCAGTCGTGTGGTAGCTGCATGCTTTAAAATGATAGATTTAGAAGGAAGTTCTCTGCTATTTTACATCATTTTCTGATAAAACCCTTTGTCACACTTCTAGTGGATGCTTTAGTAACGTCCACAGAATACTGGTACATTTATCATTTAAGTTACTTTGACCAAAAAGACATTGTTTAGGTTTTGAAGTGTGGTTCCCAGACTAGCGGAATCAGCTTCATCTGGAGGGATTCAGTAAAAAATGCAGATTTGGGGGCTCTACCCACGACATACGGATTCTGAAATAATTGGGGATAGGGAGGGTGAAGTAATCTGTGTTTTAACAAATGATGTACACTCCAGTTTGAGAACCACTGCTCTGAATATGCTCAAGCTGCTGGCTAAGTTACCTTCATCTATCAAAGGCTGGGATTCTGTAAAGCCAGAGATGGTGGTGTTATTGGTAATCTTAAATTCGGTGTTATATAATTTGTCATATTGATACACTGAAACGAAACCCTCCAATATGTCCATATACGTGTAATCTGTACTTCATGCACATCACATGGAATGCCAAATGGAGCTGTCAAGGGACCCTTATGAAAAATACAGAAGAAAAACCAGTGGTTTCTGGATGCATGTGGGAGTGAAACACCATGATTCAGTTAGTGTTTTAGGTGTGTTCATGTTTTCATTGGCATATAAATCGTTCCAACTGATGAGTCATGGAAGATAGGAGAACTAATTTGTTTGAGTAGATTTGTCAATAGAGTTCTAAATTTGTCAATATGGTTCTAAAAAAAAAAAACCCACAATTTTAAGAAGTTTATGGTATTGGCTTATATTATAACGAAAAAAAAAAGCACCATCTTATGCATTATTTAGATTTTTGAGAAAGAGATAACAGGTTGGATTCTTTGCCTTTAGCTACAATTTCTCCATTGCCAGGATAACACATTTCCAGTTGCCTGCATGGATATCTTTACTTTTGAATTCTCTAGGTCCAACTTTATTTCAGTATTTCCTTCATCTTCATCTCCTAAACGTATTCATTTTACATCTGTAATTCTGTCCACCCAGTTTAAATTGGAGCTGGAATTATGTGAGTTCTCCTTTGTTCATCACACAACTCTGTCAGTTAAAGCCCTGAAATCATGCCTCTTCTTAGCATCCTCACTGCGGCTGTCCTAAGATCAAGATCTTCTACTTTCTATCTCAGCTCCTTACAATAGTTTCTTTACTGGTCCCCAGCTTCTGGTCTCTTCCATCTCCGATCCATGGGACATAGTACTGCCTAAGTCATTCTAAAACACCATTTCAACCAGGTCTTTCCCCTTCTCAAAAACTTTCCCACGATTACCTATGAGTTACAGAATAAAGTTTAACCTTATGTATGTATGTATTTAAATAACCTCTACGACTAATGTGGGGGTTGAACTCATGACCCTGAGATCAAGAGTTGCATGCTCTACCGACTGAGCCAGCCAGGCGCCCCCAGAATAAAGTTTAAAAAGCCAGCATAGCATCTGAAGTCATCCACAGTATATGTTGACTTTCCCTGTTTGTGCTCACACAGCTTCCTTCTCCTGAAGTGTCTTTTTGACATTCTGACAGTTAAGTTCCATTTGTCCTTCAAGCCTCCACTATCACCTCCTCTTGGCCATTCCTTTTGAATCCCAGTTCGAGTTAATTGCTCCTCTGCAGTGTATTCTCAACACCTGCATTTCAGTTTTATTAACTTTTTTAAAAAATCTGTATCACATCTAATTTAGTTGTGTCTCCTTTAGATTGTAGGATTCTGGAGGGCAGGGGTTATGCATGACTCATTATGAGATCATCCTAGGGCATGAGCATAATGCCTTGGACAAAGCAAACACATGGTATTTGTTGCATTCTTGACACTGGCAAAGAAGATATTTAAGTTTGTTAAACAACAAACTCCATGTATATGAAATGCTTTTATGCAAACAATGACAATCCACTCCTCTACGTTTTCTCAGAACTGAAAGAGAATGTTTAACCTTCAACCTAAAGGATTTAGATTAGAATCCAAGAAGGAATTCCCAGCATGGGTGGTGGAGTTAAGGAAGAGTTTTCAAGGGGGGTAAATTCTAAACAGAAATAAGTCTCAGCCACATAAAGATGAAACCAGATAGATAATGTCTTCAATTTTTTAACGTCTTGATTTTAAATTTCTCTGAGAATGATTTTTTCATGAAACTAGATACAAAGTTTTCATCCGATTATTTCCTAGTTATCATCACTTAAGCTCTCCATTGCTAACTTGTTTAAAAAATTTTTTGTGAGTGTGTGTGTGGATTCTCAGTTCCCAGAGGCAAGAAATGAAAAAAGGTGCCTATGGGAGGAAGATCCCCCCACCCCTTGGTCCTGCCTTCTCACCTGGAGGCACTTTATGAGTGGGATGACTCCTTGGTTATCATTCTTCCCACCTTGGCCCCAAGCCCAGAAGGAAGCACACTGTCCTTGCACTTACCCATAGAACTTGTTTCCTATCTGTTTTCCTGTTAAGACTGTGAGATCCTAGAAGGTGCAAGCTACTTTACTAACTTTTGCATTCCTGGCAAAATGCATGACCAAATAACTATTTGTGGAATGAATAAATCAGCAGTTATGGTATACCTGAAACTCCTGGGAGTTTGCAAAGACCTCTGGTGATCTTTAGAGCCTAGCCTGGTCTCTAATCTGCAAGTTGGAAAACATTTTATAGGCCATTATCAGTAAGTGCCTACTGGATATTCAATGCTATATTCTATGTGCTTTGGAAAAGGTAACAAAAACCACATTGATGGTATATTGAAATCCTATTCAGCAATTCCCCCTGGACCTCTGTTTCTAGGTTGTTACATCTGTGAATTTGGAATACTAACAGTACCTATCTCATAAGGCTTTGGTGGAGATTACATGGCTTAGTACATACAAGGCTCCAAAAATAGAGTCTGGTGTACAGTAAGCATGAACAATTATTATTACTAAAAATCTCTAAGTATACTTGCAAAAGTTGGGGAAGAAAAACCCACAAATCTAAGTAGTTTACCTTTTATTCATACAAACAATACATACACAAGACTGTACATTGTTTGAAGACAGCAATAATTTTCTAGTGTAACAACTCTGTAACAAAATTTAACTAAATGTAACATTTATGAAAATATAAATCTCTGATTGGGTAATTCTTCCCAACAATACAAAGTTTACATAAAAACATTCAATATGAGCTATCAGTTGCAAACAAGTTAGGAAAAATCATTCAAGTCACTTGTTAAACTCTATTGGCTGTTACATAGAATATTCACACACTACATTTAATCCATCTAGGCATTTAATTCTTAGAAATGTGTGGCATGGAGGTCCAACTGATAATCACAGGAATAGGAATGTGTTGCCGCAGAAGAGCTAAAGAAAAAAAAAAAAGCATTGACTCATACAATCAACTCCAGGTGATCTCTACGTGGGCTGAGCCTTCACTGGGCTACCCCCTTCCCGGCTGGTAGCTAGGCCAGGAGGAACATACTGAAAAAAATTCTTCGACCACGGAGTGGGGCGTTATGTCTGAATCCCATCTCTGTATGCTTTCATGTCAAACTGCTTTCCAAAGTGAAATGCAATGAGCTTGGATTCCCTTTGGATCAGATCATTTTGCTTCTCCCATTTGCAAAAACAATCAAGCCGTCGCTGTCTTTTTCCTCACATTGCTCTCCAACACCCCTATAAAGGCTAGAGCAGAAGCTATCACTCCCTTTATTTTGCAGCTTACAAAAACAATACAGCGGAGAGGCTAAAGATCTGCCCGCGCGAGGAGTTTGTGGCCGAGCTGGGCTGAGAGCACATCAGTTCCTTGGTCATCATTCTGCCGCCACAAGTCACTCCCGTCACTTTCAAAGCAAACCAGCGCTTCTGATACCCTTCAAAAAGTCATCCAAGGACATGCCATGTGGAGGATATGGAAGGAAGAAAATCACTTTCCCCCTTTTGGGATGTGATATTTTCTTTTAAATAGGTGAAGTAGTGTTTTTAAAAAGTATTTAATACCATTTCATAGCTTCTGCTTTGAAACGGATAAGACTATAAAGGCCCCAAGGAGCCCTCCAGCAGAAAGGGTGACAGAGGAAGAAGCCTACATACAGTCTGGGGAAGTAAGAAAGTGATTACAAACAGGGACAAGAAAGAACCTTTGGACACCCTTAAGATATGGAATATTTTAGCACAAAGACAGGCATATTCAGTTTGTCCCCGAGTATTTGGTCTTCTGTCTGCATTTTACACAGGAGTGAGGAGGAATGAGAGTAAGGCAAATGTCTTCAGTATTTCATAGATGGCATGTCAAGAAAGCTTTCTTTCTGTTAAGATTTACCGCAGGGATTTAGGAAATAATGTATGCTTCCATACAACTGACTGAATAGCCCAGACTTTTGTTAGTACAAGATGGAAATGAACAGATGTCTTACCAAATCTATAATGCCCTTTCTGTAATTCCGCTTTAACGTCCAGCACAAATAGGCATTTCAAAAACACACGAAAAGACTGTGGTTTCCTATTAAATGTGTTTCTCTTGCAGCCCAGGAAGTAGTGTAAAAATCGCATGTTCCGTTATACAGAAACCCTTGCATGCAACTGTCTCAACTGTATCCTAATGAAGACTGACTGCGTGCTCAGTAGCCCTATGAGGGTGGTACTAAGTTCTTGTGCCCAGTCCAGTTCGTGGCCTCACCTCTCACGTCCTTTCTCCTGGGAAACTGGGAGTACGAGGGGGCATTTTTGTTACGTGATTTTGCACCTTTTGACCTTCCTTCTGCAGAATGGGTTTACACAGTTGTCAGGATTGTAAAATGTAAGGAGAGATTAAGGCTGTGTTTACTTAGGCCACACCATCATTGGAGGTCAAACAGCTCTTTGTGTTCACAATTTCAAATGATTTCCGTAGAATGAAGTCCAGTCCAAGGGGTCTGGATATAGTTCTAGCTCTGTCTTCTGAACCCATGGAATGAGTTATGCTGTTGCTTCCCACGCAGCTAACGTGAAAAATATCGCTTAGCTTCCAGTTGATGTAGCCGGTTAAACACCATTTTTAGAAATGCTCTGTCAAGGTGTCATTCCTGGATTAACTTTGACAAAAAGAGCCAACTCAAAGCCGATTTCACATTTCTGTCTTTTTGACGAGCATGTTAACACTGGAACTCCAGCATCTTTCCTGTCTTTAAAGAAAGGAGTAGTTTATCATTTGGGAGACAGAAGATACTTTTTCTCCCCCTTGTGCGTGTGTATCGCGCAAGTCCGCTGAGCAAGGAGAACGTTTTGTCAGTTGTCAGGGGCATAGCTGTGGCCCCTGGATTCCAGGGCGGAGCACATCCGGTCATAGCAAGGGTTGTGTTTCTTGGACGGTGTCGCCTCGCTGGGCTCAGTGGAATCGCTCACGGTGATGGGACTGTCTCTCGCAAAGACCTCGGTAGACTCTCTCCATAGGCAATCCACAGACACTTTGAAACAGTAACTACTACACTTTGGCCTGGATGCCTGTGTTGCATTGTTGAAAATCTGTCTGCTATTTGAAGTGGCAATCTTAATTTTCAGGGCTGCGTCTACACGGTCTACCACTGTGTATATCCCTATACTCCCGTCGTCAAAACCCACTATGATGTTCAGGTGCCTCTGGGAGAGGGCGAGAAAAGTTGGTGTTTTGTAAAGGGAACAGGCACCGATGTTTTTGCCGTCAGCCAGTCTCATTACAATCAAACTGGATACCGCACCATTTTCATCCTCCTCCTCCCCGTTTCGGAAACAAATGTATACCAGGTAGCGACCATCTCGAGAGAGCCTTTGCCTCCAGATGACCCCAGAGGCGTGAACCACCCGTAATTTGCCGCTGTGTAAATCCAGCACATTGATATTTTCGTCTCCCCTGGATATAATGCCTAGCTTGCCATTGGGAGAAATCTCGAAATCCTCCAGATTTTTCAAGAAGTTGTTTGGAAGTTGCACACGGCGACAGATGACTTCATCCGTCAGACTCCAGATATTCACCGTCTCGGCTGATGTGATGAACACAATGATGTCAGGGCAGTCGGGGATCAACTTAAAATTCACAATGGTGGTGCCATCTTCACAGCAAAATTTCTTGGTGATGCTTCCTGTCCAGAGACTGACCGCCAGCACTTTGCTTTTCGTCATTCCCACCACGAAGGTATTTGCGGAGGTTATAAAGGCATTCTGCAGAGTGGTCAAAATGTTGCAGACCCTGTGGCCTGTGGCCAGTCTCCAAACCCTGGAGGCATTTTCCTCACAGAGAGAGACCACAAACTGGTCATTGTGCGTAATTAGCAGCTGAGATATTCTCTGCCCGTTAATTCGGAAGAGGTTCTCACCGCTGGTGGTGTGCCAGACATACTGGCTGCTTTTGTCATCTGATGTCACCATGACGTCTCCAGAGGACGTCAGCACGCAGTGCTCGACTATGCCCTCATGCTTGAATACTGCCTCAAGGAACCCACTGCTGAAGCTCCACTTGTGGACACAGTCCGAGCCATCGAGGGAATAAATGATTTCCCCTCTGGCAGGTAACACCAGGCTTTGGATGGGTTTCCCAGTCTTATCTATGTTGGACATAGCGGTGATTATATCTATATCCCAGATGGAAAGAACACCACTGGTTGATAAAGAGAGCAGCATATTGTGGTGACTGGATTTCACCAGCTTGACTATGGTACCTGAGATTTCCTGTAAGCTCGCCATGCATTGGCCTGTGTCCCGCCTCCAAAAAAACACAGCTGAGGTATTTTCCATGGTCGCGATGATGCAGTCTCCGTTTTTGGACAGCACAGCAGAAATAAAGCGTTCGTTGTGCTTAGCTCTGAACTTCTCAGCCACTTTCCACATGCCCGTATCTAAGAGCTCAATGCTGAGGGCTTTACAGATCAGAATTGCATTTTGGTCCTCTGAAAGTTCAATGCTGACCACCTCGCTGTCTTCTCTTCGGCAGTCAAAGTCGTCAGTCAGCTGGGGATTGGAAATGTCCTCAGTATTCCAAACCGAAAGGCTTCCCTCACTGTCCACCATTACCATTTCTTGAGCCGTGTCCAAGATAAGAAGAAACTTCACAAACCCACCTGAAAATTCAGATGTCACCGTACATAACTTTTCTCCACTCCCTAAATGAAATATGGTGGTGGTGTTCAGGTACTGTCCACAGAAAGCATACATGCCATCCAGAGAGCACTGGACACAGGTCACTTCGTACCAGCAGTGGAACTGGTAAAGGGGCCACCCGTAGAGCAGATCGATGACAGTGACATCTTTGCTGGCTTCAAGCCATGCGAGGGCATGGTTGATGGACAGTGTAAATCCATTGATGTAGGTGGAGCCGCTTCCGTGCTTGGTGCCTTTGATTTCCACTTCAGACAGAAGACAAGAATTTACATTGTCATAAATCAGCAAGGTGTTATTTGTCGTAGCCACCACAAGATACTTTTCGTCACTGGTGAGTTTCATGCCCAGGATGACAGACTGGGCTGTGGTGATTTGCCGGAGGAGTTGACGGGTTTCCACGTCCCACGTGCTGATGGAACCATTTTCTAGAGCTGTGAGGACAGTACTGGGGTTACATGTAGGCAGAATCTCGGTGACATGCAGGTGACTAGAGGACAAGGGGAGACGCTCCGGGCTGTATGTTACGTCCATGGATGAATGTAATGGCACAATGGAGCAATATTTGGGCCCATCTTTGTCACATTCTAAAAGGAGGTGCCTAAGTTTGGGCAGGGAACTTACAACAGGCAGCAGCCTTTGCTGAAGCTCTGCTGAAAGGGAGCCCGGAAACGCAGTGACCTTGGGTTTGATGCCGCGGAGAGTGCTAGCCAGGAACTTCAGCTCCTTCTCTTGAGAGTAGTTGTAAGCCAGCTCAATGTCTGAGAGCACTTTGTCAAACTGGCCGATTTTGATCATGGTATAAAGCCAGCTGAAGTTCATGATGATCCCGTAAAGCAGGTCATCGGTTTTTCCACATCTTGTCAGGTGGTGCAAGAGCTCAGACATTTTCCGATGATTGACAAAGAAGATGTCAGGCTCCAGTGGATTACACTGGAAAACCCAGGGCTGGTCTGGAGCCTGCCTATCAAAGGAAGCCTGTTCCATGAAGTGCTTCTCTTCCTCAAGCAAGCTTCTGCTCTCCAAGTCAAGGCAGCCATTCAAGTAGGGGTCTTCAAGGCAGAAAGCTTTCCTCCTGCCCCCTGACCAGACTCCCAGAAAGTAATCTGCCAGGATGGTGTGCATTTCACGCAGGTCACTGTCATCCTGCAGATACAACTTCTGGGCTATAAGCTGCAGGTGTCTATTGGCCCAGACCAGGAGTGTGACGTTCTTCACATGTCTTTCTATTAAGTATCCACTGAGACCCTCCTTGAGCCTCGCGATGTACAGATAAGGTACTCTCAGGGGATTGCTGGGCCTAGTGTTCTCATTGAGCTCATTCATCACACTGTTGTCCAGGGCCAACACATCCTCCAGTTCCATTTCACTCAAACCTATTTTGGCCATGGTGATGTAACCGAGAGCCCTGGAGACCAGTTTCTGACCACACTTCTTCTCCAAGGACCAGAATAGCTGCTCTATACTTTCGTGAACCGTGACACAGAGGGAGGATTCATCGACATCTTTGTGAGATCTCCAATATCTCACCTCCCTGAAGGTCAGGTTCACAAACATGGGCAGCGTGCACTTGGAGAATGCGTTGTTCACATAAATCTGCTGGCCTGATGTGACCTTCCTTTTGACCCGCAACAGCTGGTGTTTGAGGACCTGGCTGCACATCTTCCTGTCCCGGGGAATCAGCTCAATGTAGTTGGCTTCTTCATGGATAAGGCACCTCAGTTTCTGCAGGATCCCATGTCTGTTGGGCAGCGTGGACAGGACTATTCGTACGAAGCGGGGAAGGTGAGCTGGGAGCCACCAAAGCTTCCTGGCCTCGTCACTCTCTGAGAGCTGCTCTAGGGCATCAAATATTATTACTAGAGGTCTCTGCAATGAAGACTCGTTCAAAAGGTTTATAAATAAGTCTCGGAGGTCATGGATCTTCTTAGGGTAGCTTTGAACCAGACACCGGTAGTTGACTGCCAATTGTTCACAAACGCTTAGAAGGAGAGTCTTAAGGTCAGTACTCATGTCTGTGGTTCCTAGAAATCTCATGACGACTACTGGGTCAGATTCTGGTCCTGTGTCTTCATGAAGCCAGCCATAGGCCTAAAACATAAAGGTAGTGTTTAGGATGGTAATCGATATTCACATGGTCGCGTACACAGCATTTCCTCTCTCCAGAGGTCAGACTTCTGGTAACCCTGACCATGCAGACAGTGGCCTAGAACCAGGGAATGGGAAAACCCGAGAAGATCAAAGAGCTGTCACAAAGCTCATGCACCAATATCTATAGGTGAGACCCTCAGGATCACTCTACTGAAGGTAATAAAATAGTGATAATAGTCTTATTCAATCCCAAGGCAGCACTTAGCTTGTTGTATTCTAAAAGTTACAAAGGATTTCATAAACAGTAAATCTGCATATCTAGTATGGTCAGCTTTTCCTCACTGAATCCTGTTTCCTGGCATGGTTTGTTGGCACACAGTAGGTGCTTAGTATTTGTTTAATGAATAGATTAAGTAGTGACTTACATATTATATTGAGTCAAATGTTTTCACTAATTGAGATCACATAAGTCTGATCAAAATTCCTAGCTAATTAGAATGTGATAAAAATAGTACTAAAATACTGAATATAATCCTGAATGATTCAGAGACATTTTACTATATTGTGGTGCTGTAGGGTCATCTTTATGATTATTTACCATTGTCATAAAATCTGTATAATTCTGGCTAAAACTTTAAGCTTTATGTTTTATAACAGACAGCTCACTATATATTAACAGTCAGTTATCAGTCCTCACATCACCTCCCTGTAGGGCAGATGGGATTATAGTACCATTTAACAGAAGAGGAAACCTGTCCAGGCTGGATAAATGACTTGCTCAGAGTTAAGCAGTTACCAAGAGACAAAGCTGGAAGGTTTTTTTGTTTTTGTTTTTCAAATTGTAGAGTGAAGGAGATAACGTATATGAGGTGGCTGTTAAATTTAGTATGTCTCTGGCTGGAAAGGCAAGGGCAAGAAGGGATATGATCAAAGTATAAAAAAAATCCCAGTCTATTTTTAGGGAGATAATGTCTTTCAGTAATCCATGGAATTCACCAAGAATGTTGCTTAGGAAAGGACGGATTTTATTAGTGAGAAAGTAAGTTTATGAAACTTGGTTCCTCAAGATGTAGTTCAGGTTAAGGCATGAGTAAGTTTAGAAAAAAAAAAAATGTAGCAATTAAGGAAAAGAAGCAATTTACTGTTTAGCCCCCACCTTTGAAGCCAATATGGAGGAAGATAAGCCTGCTATCCTACTACAACTGTCCTTCAGTGGCAAATCAGAAACAGAACATGGTATTTTGTCCCTACGTGAATTGCTTATGATGATTATATGTATTGTCCTCTCTCCTCCCAGTCACGTGTTGTTGAACATGTAGAGCGATCCTCTGCTCATGAGCTCGTGTCCATGGAAATGCTGGGCACGCAGGAGATAACCTCGAGATAAACATGAGACATCTCTCTGCATTCTCACAAGGGACATGAAGTCACAAAGAGAGCACAGGTTGTCATTGGCGGGACAACATTCCCCAGGAGAGAGGCGAGTAGAGCAGAGGCAAGGGACTTAGAAACAGGTGAGGCTTCTTGTGGACCAGAGTCCTGGACTGTGAATAGACACACTCTGGTGGTTGGACAAAATATCCAGAAGAGTGAGAGCTCAGAAAACCATTTCTCAAGTTGACCAGCTTGACTGTCACCACCCCCTGCCCCGCAGGGTCCGTTGATCGTACAGGGATATCAGCACATTCCACACAATTCTGTACCTCCTATGCTACGGCACATGGACTTGCATCATAGTGAATACAGTCAAGTCCAACAACATTCGCCCCTCCAACTACTTCACCCTTCCTTCTTCCGGAGGGAAAAAGCCCTAGAGTGAAGGTGAAATGGTGTACGTGGATGTTTTCTCATTAGATTTCAGCTTCCATGTGTTCTTTGTACTGTTGTTGTCTTGTTGACTTGGAACAATTCTGAAGTTTGAAGATTCACATACAAATTAGTGTTCACACACACACACACGCACATGCACACACACACGCACGCACACACACTTTATTTTGATGCAACATGGCTCCTAAATGTAAGCCTGCCACTTCATCTGGTGTTCCATTAAAAAAGAACCATGTCATTTAACACTAAAAGAAACACCAGGGCCGCCTGGGTGGCTCAGTCTGTTAAGCATTGGACTCTTGGTTTCGGCTCAGGTTATGATCTCAGTGTTGTGGGATTGAGCCCTGCGTCCAGCTCCACACTCAGTGCAGGGTCTCCTCTGGATTCTTTTTCCCTCCTCTCTCTCTCTCATAAATAAAAATCTTAGAAGGAGAAGGAGAAGAGAAGGAGAAGAAGAGAAGGAGAAGGAGAAGAAGAAAAACCAGCAGCTGGGCTTGGCATATTAAGAAATGGTAAATTAACTTTCCTGGGGACTTTTTTTTTTTTAAAGATTTTATTTATTTATTTGACAGAGAGAGAGAGTATACAAGCAGGGTGAGCAGGAGAGGGAGAAGCAGGCTCCCCGCTGAGCAGAGAGGCTGATGCGGGGCTCGATCCCAGGACCCCAGGATCATGACCTGAGCCGAAGGCAGATGCTGAACCGACTGAGCCACCCAGGCGTCCCTCCTGGGGACTTTTTAAAAGTAAGTTTATACACCAGATTTTTGCCTGTGAGCTTGCTTTGAAACCTAATCCCCACATAAGATACAACACAACTGTCCCTGTTCTTGTCCTCAAGATGACCTCCCTGAGATTGTGATAGCACATGACGGATGACAAGAGTGTTCGCAAAGTTAAAGAAAGCTCTGTTCTTGAGAGAATAACCACAGGAAGAACAATATAGAGATTCTGAGGTAACACCAAGATAATATAAACTATCAGCCGTGGACATCCAGTGCAACACGAGGTTACAATGGAACTAGTTTAGTCCAGTTTAGACTGACATGCCAAGACAATAGACCCAGAGTGAGGTTCCACACCATCATGCAAGATTTGTAAGGGAGTTGTGAAAACCAGTTTTGCTACCTTTAGTGGACTACCCAGCTCCAGCCTAAAAAGGAGTTTCAAGAGGCCAAGAAAAACATTGGAGATTAGGGTGCTGTGGGTCATATCTGTTACCATCCACTCCCAAAGGGCAAGGCTGAGAGATTTCCTCACTTCTCACCTCGAGAAAGGGGCTGCAATGGACCACTGACAGGGTGTCCGCTACAGCTGGAGAGACAGGGAGACAGATGTCCTCAGACACCTGAGAAATATGGAGGTTGACTGACAAGGCTGGCTAGCTCTTTGGGTGGAGGAGGGATGGAGAGCTGCTGTTTCCCAGGGCAAAAAATACCCGAGTGCTTCCCATGTGTCACATGTGGGCCACGGGCAAGACTGAGTTGACAGAGGTTTTTGTTGGTTCTGTTTTCCTCAGGTCCTGTCTGAGGGAGCTTGCTGGGCTGTGGATCTCGGCAGAAAGGTACTAGAAGTGTGTGGCTGGATGTCTAGGAGCCATGGAAGTGACCAGCTGGGGCAAAAAAAAAAAAATGCATCCCCCTGTGTTTAGAGAACTGTAGGTAAGATAAGATGCTCAGGGAGGACAGGGCAGGGGAGGCAGGAGGGAAAGGACATCCAGGAAACTAGAAAAAGGCCTCAGAGGAACTAGGAAGCAGCTTTAAATGCCTGCCAAGATCACAGAGTGTGGAGTCCAGTTTTCAGAACAGTACTGGTCATGTAAGAACTTTCTGGCCACCTTATCTTTCCTACTTCCCTGAAGCCACAACCCTATAGGAGTCACAGCCCTATAGGGATCATGTGCTTGGGGTTAGGGACAGAGGGGAAGAAGTGCTATGTGGTGGAAGAAGGAGAAGACGACCACATCCCCATTTCCCACGGCAGGTACCTTGCTTATTGTGAGCCTCAGCTGTGGGAGAGAAATATAAACTCAAGTTTTTTTTTGTTGTTGTTGTTTTTAAAGATTTTTATTTATTTATTTATTCATGAGAGACAGAGACAGAGAGAGAGAGGCAGAGGGAGAAGCAGGCTCCCAAGGAGCAGGGAGCCTGATGCGGGACTCGATCCCAGGACGCTGGGACCACGACCCGAGCCGAAGGCAGACGCTAAACCATCTGAGCCACCCAGGCGCCCTAAACTCAAGTTTTAATTACCATTTTATATTGGACAGATTTAATTGCTGAGCTGAGAATGACTTAGGGTCCAGAGTGATAGGAAGGCTTGTCTTTGCTGAGAGGGATGAGAAGAGTTATGAGATCTGCCCTAGTTTCCATCCAAATGGGAACTTGCCCCACAACGGAAGTTTGCCCAATGAGAGAAAAAATAAAGCTGTTCTGTAACTGTATCCCATGTGCTTTTTTCTTTCAGTGTGACCATTATACCAGCATAAGAGAAACACCAAGGTATCCTTTCCAAAAAGACTAATTATAATTCAGAAGTAAACACAGAAAATGGAAATGAATTTTGACCAATTTATCTTTTCCCCAAAGTAAAGGATTTTTACAAATAAGCTTGTGAAAGAAAAGGCTCTCACCTTCTTTGCTACTTCAGCTAGCAGGAGGGTCTTCCCAGTGCATGGTCCACCATATATGACGAGAGGGTTGATGTGCCCGGTTTTGCTTGGCAGAACGTATTTATGCACGATGTTGAGAGATTCACATTTATACTCGTAGAAGGAGGCGTACGTCTTACATAATGAGGAATGCTGAAGGATTTCATCATAAAGCGTGTCGGTTTCAGTGTCAAAATTCTGTTGTACGGTTGCCTGAATGATATCAATCATGTCCTCATAAAATTGTTTACCAAGTCCTTCTATGTAATGATTTTCTATTTCTTGGGAATAGCCCAGTTTCATGTCACAATGAGTAACAGATGTGTACACTCTCAGATTAGATGATGCAACAATAGTTGGAATAAATTCATCCCTGAGTTTTATCAGCTTCTCTTGGGCTTCTGCATCCCGCATAATCCTTGGTTCTGTTCCAGTGATATCCATGTATTTTCCCATCTCTGGGATTTTCACAAAACGCTCAATGTTAGCAATTTTCCGAATGTAGCAAACACACTTCTTTAGGAATGCTGGAGTTTGCTTTCCTAGAGCAAAGTCAAACTCGTCCTCTATCGCTGAAAGAAAATGTGGCATGGGGTTTATTGTCTAGAACAAAGAAGCAGTGGGCCCACACCCCTAGTACTTATCTCTCAAGTCACCAGGGGGAGATTATTTTGCTTGCAGTGGGTAGCAGACTCTTTTGTAGATTAATTTCTTAATTCTTTAATTTCTTATCTCTCTTTTCCTAAACAGCCAGGAACCCAGTACAATGGGTTTTAATTAAAATTAATTTCCTCCCCAGTTAGAGAGAGAGCTTGAATATAGCCATAAGAAAGAAAGCATACTGAGCTTATAGTTGATTCTTTTAAGTTCCTGTTTAGTTTCTCTCTCAGACTTAAGGGGTTCTAATAGCGAAGAGCAGGGACCAACAGGGGCCAGTAAAGAATGAGGAAGAGGCCAAATGACGTATCTCGCTGACTTCTTCCTTGTCACTCTCTCCTTTACAATGTGGCTTCACCATTTTATTTGAGGATGCACTGTACCCCAGACAGATATGTGTAAATAGTAATACAAATCATGTTCAACATCTAATCATGTTCCGATCAGTGATCAGTCTGAATTTTCCGTATCACTGTTAAATTCCATTATATCTCCCAAAGCGGGTACAGAAAAATGATTTAATATGTAAATGTATTTCTTCAAAGATAAACTGGGTCATACAACACATTGGCTTACACACAAGTAAATATACATATCATAAATCACTGAGGCCCCATAAGAACATTTAAAACCGGAGCATCAGTAACAGAAACATCACTGAAGCATGATTTTATGGAGGAAAAATAAGAAGGACTAAAATAATTAAACCAATGGCAATGAACTTTAAGGCAAGCAATGTTTTGAAACTGGCTGCCTCCCCTCACTCCCCCTGCTTTCCTTCATCCAGTTGGTCTTAACTGAGTGTCTACTATGTGCTAGGCATGCTGCTGGTTACTCAGGATATAGTGGGAAGAGAAAACAGACAATGCTGAGAGAAAAAGCCGTTATAGCACTTACAGTCCAGTGGAGGATGGTGGACATGAGTCCCAGAGTCCCACAAATACATGTATAATGATTGTTTTTAGTCCCATGAAGGAGAATAACATGGTACAATGAAAGCAAACAATCAGGAGGGCTACCCCACTGGGAGAGGTCAGGGAAGGCTTTCTTAAGGAGGTGCCTACTAGGCAGCGGTCTGATAGAAGAAGGAGGGGTTGGGGTGGGCCTTGAGTATGCAGGGCTGGGCTGGCCAGAAACTGAAAACATTTCAATGTGCTGGCCCAACTCGAACATCAAACAAAACCCAGAACTTACATGTATTCTCTACAGTAACTATTAAGGAAGGTGGGAACTGTAATTTTAAATGGTGCCTTTTAGAACTCTCATGATCATAATTTTTTCAGGAATGATAGCCCTCAATCAAAAGCAATGACTCAAGTAAAAAACAGACTCAGTATAAACAGATCTTATAGCCACCAGTGTGGAGTGAGCTGTGCCATGGTCACCAGTCCATGTTACAAAGGGGTTTTTTTTGTTGTTTTTTAAGATTTTATTTGTCAGAGAGAGAGAGAGAGGGAAAGCACAACCAGGGAGAGCAGCAGGCAGAGGGAGAAGCAGGCTCCCCGTTGAGTGGGGAGCCGGATGCGGAACTCGATCCCAGAACCCTGGAATGATGAACTGAGCTGAAGGCAGATGCTTAACCGACTGAGCCACCCAGGTGCCCCTACAAAGGGTTTTGATGAGGCAAGTTGGTTAAGGAGGCCAAAGGAGTTTATATAATATGTATCTACTCTTCTTTTTATGAGAGTAAGAACTTGTAATGTAGATGAGGCAAGATGTAGGAAATCTGCAGAAAGCAGCCTTTGGCCCATCTCTTTTCCAGCCATCTGTGCAACATGCTGAGAGGCACCCTGGATGAACCAGGTGCTACCTTCTGTGGATCCTGAGAAAGGAAGTGTCAACCTGTAGTATGTATACCTAATGGATGATAACCAGAGATTGCACCGTCACCTCTGACTCCCAGGAAGCAAATCAACTTTAACATAACTGCCATTGTTATTACCTCTGTGGAGAGAATGTGCCAATCAGGAGTGTTGATTATAAATGCTTTGAAAGAAGACATAGAGAGACCAAGTTGGTAGAACCCATCTAAGCTTGGCTCAGGGTGAAAAAAAGAGGCTGTACATAAGAATGCCTTTTGATGGTATAGACTTAATAAATATACCTGAATAAATGAGTCATGTGAGACCAAGTCAACTCTATAGAGTTCTTTCTAGAAGCCAAGTGCATCCTCATGATTTGGGGGGACTTTTATTGATAATTTCTGATATTTATTGATCTATAAATCTTATAAACTTCCCCTTCCTTACCGGAATACCATATTTGTTTTCTGTCCTTGCATTTTTCTTTTTTTTTTTAAAGATTTTATTTATTTATTTGAGAGAGAGAGAAGGAGAAAGAGAGAGCACATGAGAGGGGGGAGGGTCAGAGGGAGAAGCAGACCCCCTGCTGAGCAAGGAGCCCGATATGGGACTCGATCCCGGGACTCCAGGATCATGACCTGAGCCGAAGGCAGTCGCTTAACCAACTGAGCCACCCAGGCGCCCTGTCCTTGCATTTTTCTAAATATCCTAAAGTTTAACTGGTCATAGCACCTGATGAAGATAACATTAGGAGAGTTCCAGCCCTGGCAACTATCATTCATGAGACATAAATCCCCAAAACTACTATCCCTGAGACCATTCAGTTTTAATGTTCACAGCTGGGCACTGTTTTGGGGTCTATTTTATTTCTCTTCATCTCCTGTTATTTATAAAGGAGAAAGTAGAAGTGTGAAAAATTAGGGACACCTGGATGGCTCAGTTGGTTAAACGGCCACCTTTGGCTCAGGTCATGATCCCAGGGTCCTGGGATCCCCCTGCCTTTGCTTGCTCTCTCTCTCTCTCTCTGTCAAATAAATAAATAAAATCTTAATCTTTATATGGCTGGCCACATGGACAGAGTTTTTTAGTGTAGAGAAAATTAGAAGAAAGTGTTTGCCAGTGAAATACTTGAACACTGGAACTGTATGATTCTAAATAAGAGGATGCCCTTCCCAACTGGGGTCTCTTACATCAAGAATAGGAAAGCTTTGGAGTGTCTGGGTGGCTCTGTCGGTTAAGCATCAGGTCATGATCCCAGGATCCTCTCCCTCACCCTCTGCCTGCCGCTCCCCCTGCTTGTGATCCCTCTCTCTCTGTCAAATAAGTAATAAATAAAATATTAAAAAAAAGAATAGAAAAGCTTTTGCTCTGGGCATTTTCTTCAAATACAGCACGTTTTTAGGACCAGAGTAGTTTTGTTCTTGATAAAGATGAAGAACCAGAGTCTCAAAATTGGTTAAAAAAATCCCAAAGGATCAAGGATATTTGTCAGTCCGTATATTCTAAAGATAGTACTTACTCTTGCCGGTTTTAATACTTTCAGGGAGACCTAAAATAAGACCTAATTTTTGATAGTTTGTCGAAAATGAATTTGTTAAAATTACGTACAATTGCCCTAGCTTGAAGTACCCGTATATAGGGAGAATGATATTGAGTGCCTTTTAGGTTTTTGCTTTGTCATGCCACTCACAAAACCAATCTGAAAACCCAAGTGCTATTGCTTTTTCCTCAATCATTCTTCACTATCAATTTTTAAGATTGTATTTATTTATTTTAGAGGGTCAGGGGAGGGGCAGAGGGAGGAGAGAGAGAGAATCTTAAGCAGACTCCCCGCTGAGCATGGAGCCCAATGCAATGACCCACTCAATCTCACGACACCCCCCCCCCCAACGAGATCATGAAATCAAGAGTCAGCACTTAACCTACTGAGCCACCCAGGTGCCCCTTCACTATCAATTTTTAAAATAAATGTTAAAAAATAAAATAAAATAATATATATCTGATTACTCTTACCCAGTAGTGTTTGTCCCCTGGAAAGTATGACTGACGTATTCCTTCAGCTCTGTGGTTTCCTGTGCATCCTTTAAAAATAAAGCCTCCTTTCTATGGCTGAGAAAGGCTGACAAATGAGTCTCTGCTCAGTGGATTTTTACTTTAAGGTTAAATTAGATCCTGCCACTCCCTTACTTCTTTATTTCTCAACCTCCAATGGCTTCCCAGCTTACCCAGAATAAAACATAGGCTCTTAGTATGGCTTCATCTCTCCTTCCCCAGGCCTGGCTACCTTCACCTTCTTCCTGCTCCTGGAACTTACTAAGCAGGGATCTTGACTCTGGTAATCCCTCTGCCTGGAATTCTCTGCCTGGGATATAGCACACCGGGCTCTGACTCTTTCTGTCATTCAGCTCAAAGTCCTCTCCTTACTGCCCACTCCATCTACATCTGGACCCCCATATCCTTCATCAGCCCCTCTTACTGTGTCTTGTTTGTTCATATTGCTTATCCTTTCTGAAATGATCCTGTTCATTTATGATTACTTGCCTATCACTTATTTTCCCCCCACTAAAAAATAAATTCCAAGAGAGAGAGACCTTGCCTTCTTGTTCATGGTTGTATCCCCAGGGCCTGGCACATAACGGGCACTCAGTAAATGTTTGCTGAGTGAATGAATGAATGAACAGAATGAACGAATGAACTGACATTGGCAGAGTCTGGTCTAATACAGGCAGCCTCCTCTGACTTCTTTAAAATCACATTTTCTGGAGAAGTCCTCAAATTAAGTGAAGGCTTATCTATTGGTTAAAAGAAAAGAACACTTGCCTCTTGAGGAGAAGGAAACATTTAGAAAAATTAAATTTCATCGGGCGGTAAATGAAATTAAACTTGTAGACTCATAAAATGGAAGCAGTGAATGTATCTATTACTTATCTGTTCCTTAGTTTACTGAGGATGTGTAAAAATTACCTGAGAACAGGTACCTCTTAGCTTGGCTGTATTTCATTTTCCCCTTTTCATGTAACAGTTTTACAGCAGCCTTAAATATCCCCTTGATCTCATCTGATATCTCTTTCCAGGTCTTCTCATTGTCAGCTTTGGCAGAAGGCTGCATCTAGGAAAATGTAAAAGTGAGATATTAGTCTTAAGATCATCAAAGAAAAAAAATCAATATTTAAGCACAAGAGAAAAAGCACTATTATTTGAAGGTCTACTATGAGCCAATACTATGATAGGTGCTTAACAGGCCAGTGCCCCTAGTAACCCTGAAAGTTAGAACTTATCTCCATGTTATATGTGAATTTGCCCAAATTACACAGAAATCGTTTATTGGGCTTTATTACTGTACTATGTATTTCCCTTTTTTTTTTTTTTACATTTTTATTTTAGTCCCAGTTAGTTATATTAGTTTCAGGTGTACAATATAGTGATTCAACACCCATACAACACCTGGTGCCCCTCACGACAAGTGCACTTCTTAATCCCCATCCCCTATTTCACCCTTCCCCCCACCCCCTCTGGTGACCATCAGTTTGTTCTCTATAGTTAAGAGTCTGTTTCTTGGTTTCTCTCTCTATCTCTCTCTCCCCCTGTTCCCTCCCTCTCTCTCTTTTTCCCTTTGTTTATTTGGTTTGTTTCCTAAATTCCGCATATGATTGAAATCATATGGTATTTGTCTTTCTCTGACTTATTTCACTTAGCATAATAATCTCTAGCTCCATCCATGTCATTGCAAATGGGAAGATTTCATTCTCTTTAATGGCTGAATAATAGTCCATTGTGTGTGTGTGTGTGTGTGTGTGTGTGTGTGTGTATCACAGCTTCTTTATCCATTCATCAGTCGATGGACAGTTGGGTTGCTTCCATACCTTACTATTGTAAATAATACTGCTATAAACATAAGGATGCAAGTATCTCTTTAAGTATCTCTGTGAATTAGTATTCTGTATTTTTGGGGTAAATACCCAGTAGTGTGATTGCTGGATAGTAGAGTAGTTCTAATTTCAAATTTTTAAGGAAACTTTATACTGTTTTCCAGAGTGGCTGCCCCACTTTGCATTCCTACCAATAGTGCAAGAGGGTTTCCCTTTCTCCACATCCTTGCTAACACTTGTTGTTTCTTGTTTTGTTGGTTTTGGCCATTCTGACAGGTGTGAGGCGATGTCTCATTGTGGTTTTGATTTGCATTTCCCTGATGATGAGTGATGCTGAGCATCTTTTCATGTGTCTGTTGGCCATCTGCATGTCTTCTTTGGAGAAATATCTGTTCATGTCTTCTGTCCATTTTTGCATTGGATTATTTGCTTTTTGGGTCTTGAATTTTATAAGTTCTTTATACATTTTGGGTATCAGTCCTTTATTGGATAAGTCATTTGCAAATATCTTCTCCCATCCCGTACGTTGCCTTTTAATTTTGTTGATTGTTTTCCTCCTTGTGCAGAAGCTTTTTATTTTGATATAGTCCCAATAGTTCATTTTTCCTTTTGTTTCCCTTGCCTCAAGAGACATACCTAGAAAAGAGTTGCTATGACTGATGTTAAAGAGGTTATTGCCTATGTTTTCTTCTAGGAGTTTATGGTTTCAGGTCTCACATTTAGGTCGTTAATCGATTTTGAATTTATTTTTGTGTATGGTGTAAGAAAGTGGTCCCGTTTCTTTCTTTTACATGTTGCTGTCCAGTTTTCCCAACACCATTTGTTGAAGAGACTGTCCTTTTCCCACCGGATATTCTTTCCTGATTTGTTGGAGATCAATTGACCATATAGTTGTGGGTTTATACCTGTGTTTTCTATTCTGTTCAGTTGATTTATGGGTCTAGTTTTGTGCCAATACCATACTGTTTTGATCACTACAGCTTTGTAATATAACTTGACATCCAAAATTGTGATGCCTTCAGCTTACTTTTCTTTTTCAAGGTTGCTTTAGCTATTCAGGGTCTTTTTGGTTCCATATAAATTTTAGAATTGTTTGTTCTAGTTTTGTAAAAAATGTGTTGGTATTTTGGTAGGGATTGCATTAAATGTGTAGATTGTTTTGAGTAGCATAGACATTTTAACAATATTTATTAACCCATGAGCATGGAATGTCTTTCCATTTCTTTGTGTCATCTTCAATTTCTTTCATCATTGCTTTATAGTTTTCAGAGTATAGTTCTTTCACCTCTTTGGTTAGGTTTATCCCTAGGTATCTTATTATTTTTGGTGCAATTGTAAATGGGATTGTTTTCTTAGTTTCTCTTTCTGCTGCTTCATTATTGGTATATAGAAATGCAACAGATTTCTGTACATTGATTTTGTATCCTGTGACTTTACTGAATTCGTGTATCAGTTCTAGCAGTTTTTTGGTTGAGTCTTCTGGGTTTTCTATATATAGTATCATATCATCTGCAAATAGTGAAAATTTTACTTCTTCCTTACTAATTTGCCTTTTATTTCTTTTTCTTGTCTGATTGCTGAGGCTAGGACTTCCAGTGCTATGTTGAATAAAAATGGTGAGAGTGGACATCCTTATCTTTTTCCTGACCTTAGGGTAAAACCTCTCAGTTTTTCCCCATAGAGGGTGATATTAGCTATGGGTTTTTCATATATGGCTTTTATTATGTTGAGGTATGATCCCTCTAAACCTACTTTGTTGAGGGTTTTTATCATGAATGGATGTTGTGCTTTGTCAAGGGCTTTTTCTGTGTCTATTGAAATGATATGGTTCCTATCCTTTCTCTTATTAATGTGGTGTATCACGTTGATTGATTTGTGAATATTGAACCACATTTGCAACCCAGGAATAAATCCCACTTGATTGTGGTGAATGATTTTTTTAATGTATTGTTGAATTCAGTTTGCTAATATTTTATTGAGGAGTTTGCATCTCTGTTCATTAGGGATATTGGCCTGTAGTTCTCTCTTTTAGTGGTGTCTTTATCCAGTTTTGGTGTCAGGATAATACTGGCCTCACTGAATAAGTTTGGAAGTTTTCTTTCTATTTCTATTTTTTGGAATAGTTTGAGAAGAATAGGTATTAACTCTTCTATAAATGTTTGGTAGGATTCCCCTGGGAAGCCATCTGGCCCTAGGCTTTTGCTTGTTCAGAGTTTTTTGATTACTGATTCTCTTCCTTCCTCCCTTTTCTTTTTTCTTTTCTTTTCTTTTCTTCTCTTCTCTTTCTTTCTTTTTTTTTTTTTGATTCTATTTCTTTGCTGATTATCAGTCTGTTCAAATTTTCTATTTCTTCCTGTTTCAGTTTTGGTAGTTTATATGGTTCTAGGAATTCATCCATTTCTTCTAGGTTGTCCAATTTGTTGGCTTATAGTTTTTCATAATGTTCTTTTATAATTGTTTGTATTTCTGTGGTGTCAGTTGTTATTTCTCCTCTCTCATTTGTGATTTTATTTATTTAGGCCTTTCTTTATTTTTTCTTGATAAGTCTGTCTAGAGGTTTATCAATTTTATTGATTTTTCAAAGGACCAGTTTCTGGTTTCATTACTCTGTTCTATTGTGTGTTTGTGTGTTTGTGTGTGTGTGTGTGTGTGTGTTAGTTTCTATATCATTTATTTCTGCCCTAATCTATTATTTCTTTTCTTCTGCTGGTTTTAGGTTTTGTTTGTTGTTCTTTTTTGAGCTCCTTTAGGTGTAAGGTTAGGTTGTTTATTTGAGATTTTTCTTGCTTCTTGAGGTAGACTGTATTGTTATAAACTTCCCCCTTATGTATTTAAAAAATTTTTTTTTATTTGCTGGTTGACCCATTCATTGTTTAGTAGCATGCTATTTAACCTCCATGTATTTGTGGTCTTTCCAGATTTTTTCTTGTGATTGACTTCAAGTTTCATAGCATTGTGGTCAGAAAAGTTGCATGGTATGACTTCAATATTCTTGTATTTTTTTGAGGTTTGTTTTGTGGGCTAATATGTGATCTATTCTGGAGAATGTTCCATGTGCCCTTGAAAACCATATGTGTTCTGCTGTTTTAGGTTCTGAATATATCTGTTAAATCCATCTGTTCCTGTGTGTCATTCAAAGCCATTGTTTCCTTGTTGATTTTCTGTTTAGATGAGCTGTCCATTGATGTAAGTGGGGTGTTAAAGTCCCCTACTATTATTGTGTTATTATCTATTAGTTCCTTTATGTTTGTTATGAGCTATTATATGTATTTGGGTGCTTCTATGTTGGGTGCATAAGTATTTACAATTGTTATATCTTCTTGTTGGATTGTCCTCTTTATTATTACATAGTGATCTTCTCTTTCTCTTGTTACAGTCTCTGTTTAAAGTCCAATATAAGTATTGCTAGTCTGGCTTTCTTTTGACATATATTTGCATGATAGATATTTCTCCATCCCCTCACTTTCAATCTACAGGTGTCTTTACATCTAAAATGAGTCTCTTGTAGGCAGCATACATATGGGTCTTGTTTTTCATCTATTCTGTCACCCTCTGTCTTTTCATTGGAGCATTTAGTCTATTTGCATTTGAAGTAATTATTGATGGAAATGTATTTATTACCATTTTATTATGTATTTTGTGGTTGTTTCTGAATATTTTCTCTGATCCTTCCTTGTCTTTTTTTCATGTTTTGCTGATTTTCTTTAATGATATATTTGGATTCCTTTCTCTTTATTCTTTGCATATTTATCAGTGGTTTTTGATTTGTGGTTACCATTAGGTTTGTATATAACTTCATGTGCATATAGCAGTCTATATTAAATTGATGGTCATTTAAGTTTGAACCCATTCTTTTTTCCTGTCCTCCCACATTTTAGGTATATGTTATTATATTTTATATCCTTTTTTGGTGAATTCCTTGGCTGATTTTTTTACAGAAATATTCACTTTTACTGCTTTTGTTTTTCTTACCTTTATACTGTCACTTTTGGTCTCTCCTTTCCACTCAAATAGCCCCCTTTAATATTTCTTGCAGGGCTGGTTTAATGGTCATGAACTCCTTTAGTTTGTGTTTGTCTGGGAAACTCTTTATCCCTCCTTCTATTCTGAATGATAGCCATGCTGGAAAGAGTATTCTTGGCTGAAGATCTTTCCCATTCAGCACTATGAATATATCATGCTACTTTCTTCTGGCTTGCAAAGTTTCTGTTGAAAACCTCGTGCTAGCTCTATGGGTTTTCCCTTGTAAGTTACTGACTTCTTTTGTCTTGCTGCTTTTAAAATTCTTTCTTTATCACTAGATTTTGCCAATTTAATTACAATATGTGTCTGTTTCTCTGTGTTAAGAAAGTCAGCTATGTCTTCTGCTCTTGAAGGTAGTGACTTTATGAAGAAGAGGTCCTGGAGTGCCCTGCAGCACAGTGTCCCCTATTCACCAGAACTTGACCCTTCAGGAGAGTATCTATCTGTGTTGCTTATGCCCTGCTGTTGTGTTGGAGTCACTTTTCCTTTCAATGCAGTCATCTGCACTGGCTCTTTGCCTGATGCAGGCTGTGCTTGCTCTCAGTGGTGTTAGTGGGACCCAAGCAGGCCAGTTCTGAGGGGGCAAGACTGCTGGGGAACTTGGGATGGGATGGTGGTGTTAGCAAAATTTGTGCTGGGCCCCTAGTCCTATGCCAGATCTCCAAAGTGCTAAGGCGGCTCGGGGCTGCATGCTGGGGTGGCTAGGGATGGGAGGCTGGGTGGGGTGAGTGATGAGGGTTAGACATGCCCAGGCCTGGTGTGAGATGGTGGCTAGGGGCACATCGCTGGGCATGGTGTGGTGGCAGCTGTGGACCAGGTGGCCGTGTGGCATGTGCATGGCTTTAATAAAATTTGCCGTGAGCCCAGGGCCGAGGCTAGCAGGTTTGGAATGGGCGAGTCCTCAGGAGAACTCGTGGGCTTGGCGCACTGCTAACAGGTTAAGTAGCAAGTCCCTCTTGGGTGTTGATACACAGAACAGAAAGTTAAAGGAAAGGTCCTCATATGTTTCCATTTAATTGTCTTTAGTTGTCTCTTCATTTGTTTCTGAGTCTCTGGGAAATGAAATGGGAGGACTGCCGACCAAGCAAATAACATTTATAGAGTCTTGGTGATAATCTTATTCATGAATTCATTTATTTAACAATAATTTATGCAGAAATATCAGGTGGGGCTTAGAAAATAACTTAAATTTTCCCTAGATGATCTTAGAATGACAAAGGAACAACTCAAGCCAATTAAACAGTAACATATGAGCAAGTGCTCCCAAACCGCTGTCTAAACCTGGTTTCATGAGGTATTAGGTTTTTTGATATCTACATTTACCAGCAATACATTTATTCCTGGCATATTCAACTGAGGAATGGCTTGGATTTGCCCTAAGATTCCTATCCACAGAAACAAGATTCTTGCAGATAAGTACTTTGAATAATGCATGGAGGGGGAAGAAGGAAAATTAAGGATCCTGGCATGATTTCATATTGCATGCCGAAAATGCTGTATGCTAAATATGAGAATGACAAATACACAAGGTTCTTAAATGAACTGTTGCCAAGTCAGAGCTGTGCTCCTCTCAGAGATGCCTTGGCACTGAATGTATCAAGGATGTTCTCTTTGGAAGAGGGATGGATCTCTATTCCTTCTTTTCAATCTCTCCAGGAATCCTATGCAAGGAAAAGGCCCATCCGTTTTCTCTTCCTCCTTTATTCTGTTTCAGGGGACACATGGTAGATACATTTAGGAACCAAGTTGGAGAGGAATCATTGATACTATTTCCATCCTACAAAGGCATGAATCAACCTCACTTCAAGATTCTACATAAGATACAAGAATATAAACTATGTATGAAATATTAAAGGAAAAATAATTGAATTAAAAAATGAGAGACTTTAAAAATAGCTAGGCAGATTTTAAAAGGCCCCTCCCCCCCCAAAAAATTTCACAGATCAAAAATATAACTGTGAAACCTGAAAGCTTAATGCATGAACAGAGTGGACACAGCTGAAGAAAAAAAAAATACTGAATTGGAAAAGACCTAAAATAGTCTCCTGGACAGCAGCATGGAGAGCTAAGGAAATTGATATGTGAAAGAGAATCAAGAGAAATGGAGGACAGACTGAGATGGTCCAGTGTAAACTAAATTATAGTGCAAAAAAGAAAGAACAGAGGCAATAGAGGAAAGACATTATTTGATGAGATGATAGCTGAGAACTTTCCAGGACAGATAGAATACATGAATTCATGAATATAGGAAGCACGACAACATGACTTCATAATATCGTAGACACATTATGGCAAAATGGGAAAAATAAGAATATTTTCAGATAAACAGACCCCAGGAGGAGAGTCTGAGAGGCCAAAAAGAAAGGTAAGTCAAAAATGGGAAAGTTTCTTAGCTTTGGATTTTGTTGTTAAAAAGAAATGTAAGGTCCAGGGCAGAACAACTTTCTGTCTGCTATGCCTTTTCTGTGGATGAACGACGGTGGAAAGTAATAGACACGTACATACTTTGGAGAGAAAGATAACTCACTGCATTTTTATTGCTTTTCAGCATTTCCAATTTAGGTCTGAGGTAATAAGCTGCTGGCACTGAGTTCTCGTCACGACAGTACCACTCTTCCAGAAGCTTGGTCTCCAGCTTTGCCTCTACAGCAGCATCCAAAATCATTTCAAACTCCGAGGCTTCAACTTCTCCAGGGATTCGAATGTTCCCATACTTTTCACCTAATAGTCCCTGTGTGTCCACAAGAAAGTTCAGGTTAGTGTACCACCAAGAAAATTCATTTTAGTATTCACATCGTCTAGTTAAATTGAATATTTATTGAACATTAAATAGAAACAAGATATGTTGTTCCATCACTTTTCTCTTTTAATCACAGTGGATACTTTCTTCCCATGCATTATTTAATAAGTAGTTAGATCAATTATATTGTAATTATAATAAATTCATATAATGAGAACTGAGATTGCATATCACATCAGACAAATTCAAAATACAGAGTTTTGTAGCAAATTTATTTCCCCAAAATTTACATAATACAACAAAAGTTGTTCTACTCTGAGATTTTTTTTTGTTTGATCATGACAAAGAAAAATGACATGCTGGACTCTATGAAATATCACATAGGCAAACTCTCCAAAGAATTGCTTTGTGAAGAGTTAGATTTTCGTAGCTACAAAAGAAAGTAGGAAATCACTGAGTGCGATACTACTATGGACCCCACCCTAACTCAAAACAATTCAAAATGTAAATAAGATATCATTTTCTCCTTATTAAATTGGGAAAGAAAAACACGCTCCGTGTTATGTGAAAGTGTGAGAAGATACCCACATAGTGCTGATGGGTGTGTAAATGGATCCAATATTTCACTGAAGAGTATTCTGGAAGAATGTATTAAAAGCCTTAAAAATCTATATAAATTTGGGCTTCTGGGAAATTGTCTTTAGAAAATAATTAAGGATGTGCATGAAGACTTACCAGAATATTTATGCTGATACAGTTTTAACAGGAAAGAATTGGCATAACAACCTAAGTGTCATGCAAATGGGAACATTTAAATATACTATGGTACGTCTATTCAAAGGATGTAGCAAGTCATGTTCCAGAACTGTATTGATGTAGAAAGATTTTTTTCAAGTTGTTATTTAAATTCCAATTAGTTAACATACAGCGTAACATTAGTTTCATGTGAGGAATTTAGTGATTCATTACTTACATACAATACTCAGTGCTCATCACAAGTGCCCTCCTTCTTCCCCATCGCCCATTTAACTCATCTCCCCACTCACCTTCCCTCCATCAGTTTGTTCTCTATAGTTAAGAGTCTGTTTTCTGGTTTGCCTCTTTTTCCCTTTTTTCCCCTATGTTTATCTGTTTTGTTTCTTAAATTCCACTATGAGTGAAATCATATAGTGTTCGTCTTTCTCTGACTAACTTATTTCACTTAGCATGATACTTTCTAGCTCCATCCATGTCATTGCAAATGGCAAGATTTCATTCCTTTTTTATGGCTGAGTAATATTCCAGTGTGTGTGTGTGTGTGTGTGTGTGTGTGTGTGTGTGTGTGTATACCACATCTTCTTTATCCATTCATCTAGTTGATGGACATTTGGGCTTTTTCCATAATTTGGCTATTGTTGATAATGCTGCTATAAACATGGGATGCACATATCCTTTCCAATCAGTATTTTTGTATCCTTTGGGTAAATACCTAGTAGTGCAATTGCTGGATCATAGAAGATGTTTATAATATACTATTAAGTGAAAAGGTAAGTTACAAAACAGTATGTATAAGATGATTCCAATGTTTTATATATATTACATATATATGAGAGAGGAGATTGTATATATATGTATATACAAACATACACATAAGAAAAATTTTATAGGAATGCACAGCAATATTATCAATGGCTATATTTGGGTGGCTTTAAATATACTTAGGTTGTTTTATGAATTTATTGTTTTTTTTTTTAAGTTTATTTATTTTTTTAGTGAACTCTACATCCAATATGGGACTTGAACTCACAACCTTGAGATCAAGAGTCACATGCTCCGCCCACTGAGCCAGTCAGGCGCCCCTGAGTTTATTGTTTTTTTTTAATTAAAACTTTTTTTTTGTAGTACACATTATTATTTTGTAATGAGAAAAACAACAGGCATTGAAAAATTTTAAACCTAGTGATGCTGTCTATACTGCTTTGTGGAACAACACTCTGGAGCTTCCTCTAAATGTCTGCTTAAGACTGTGGTTCTCAAAATGTGGTCCTCAGACCAGCAGCATTAGCATCACCTGGGGACTTACTAGTTCTGCAAATTCTCAGGTCCTATCCCAGAACCACTGAGTCACAAACTCTGGGGGTCTCTGCTGAGCAATTAGTGCTTTAGCAAGCCCTCCAGGTGCCTGAACAACTGTTTTAAGCTAATAAAAATATTACCTTATATAGCATCTGGTATTTCAATTACTCTTCAATGTCTTATCTAGTAGAAACAAAGAAAGGACATAATGGAACCCTAAGACAAATCTATGCCAGCCAAGATAAGTTTGTCTGCTTTATGGTGTCCAGGGGAAGGTTTCTCTTTAATCTGTGGGCACCTCCATCCTTTCCTCCTGTTGACTAGCACCTTTACTATAAACTCCAAGCCCTGTTTACGCATTGAAACATGGGTGGTTTGGCTTCCTTGGGGGCACTTCTTACTACCTCTACTGCCTATCACTGCAATATCCACAGTGTTTTCTCACCTCATACAGCTAGATAGGTGAGAGAATTAAAGTCCTGGGGAGATCTGTGTTCAAACTAAATTCCTAACCCAAACTCTACTGCGAAATGGTAAGCCCCATAAGGGTTGAGGCCTGAGATGTTGATTCCTAGCACATAGAAAATTAAAAAAAAAACAACCCTATTTGTTACATAAATGAATGAACCAAAATAGAGAAGAAATCTTTAGACTGTTCTTTCTTTAAAAGATTTATTTATTTATTTTAGAGAGAAAGGGAGGGAGAGAGAGAGAGAGCATGAATGGGAGGGGCAGAGGGAGAGGGAGAGAGAATCTCAAGCAGACTCTGCACTGAGCACAGAGCCTGATGTGGGGCTCCATCTCATGACCGTGAGATCACAACCTGAACCGAAACCAAGAGTTGGATTCTTAACTGACTGCACCACCCAGGCGGCTCTTAGACTGTTCTATTCTTAGTTGAAGATAGTATTTCAGCTCTCAACAGGTGGAGTAATAATTTGGGAAGGTGCTAGTCTTGTCTGCAACCTTCATTTCAGCCTGTAGTCTTTTAATAGGTCCTGTCTACACACATCCCTGGTTGGGCCATTCCCCATCTCCTTGGGACATAATCCATCCCATCTAACTGGCTCACTCCAGCTGATTGTAGCTAACGGAACTCACTTTTTCAAGCTCAAGTCTCCTCAGTACTAGCCTCAGAGACCAGGCGGGAGGGCGATACAACTTACGTGTGCTCTTTGGCTGCATAAAGGCCCTTTGTAAGGGCCTTGAATGGAGGGACACCACTGCTCTGGTCTCCATTACTTCAGCATGGTAAACGGGGGTCTACAGAGGGTTCTTTTGAAATAAGGGTGTTCTCACTCCAACTCACTGTATCAGCCTGAAGGCCACATGAGGACCCTTTTATTTCAATCTGCATTTGTTTTGGGCTATTCTTGACAACAGGCTGTATGCAACAAAGCTAATGTTATTTTGAGTTGTTTCTCACTTTCTATTTTGTTTTGTTAAGGAATAATCGACACTGTTGCACTTGCCTCAGGCGTACAGCATAGTGATTCAGTATTTGTATACATTACAAAATGGTCACCACAATAAGTCTGGTTACCATCTGTCACCATACCAAGTCGTTAGGATATTACTGACTACATTCCCTATGTTGTACATTATATCCCTGTGTCTCATTTATTTTATATCTGGTAGTTTGTAGCTCTCAATCCCCTTCACCCATTTTGCCTATGCCCTCACCTCCCTCCCCTCTGGCAACCATCGTTTTATTCTCACTTTTAATGTTCCTCTTCTAAACTCTCTCATGTTAAACTTGGGTAAATGAGCAGGTATGACCTCTCATTTTGCCAGACATACAAAGGGAGACAATATTTTTAAGGCTAGCCAGACTGGGGATTATCCTATTCCTGTTGGTTAGTTCTGGATAAAGGATAGTCAGCATCTTCAGTCAGGACTGTCTGTCATGAGGAGTGAGGTTTTCGTGCTGGGATGAGCCATCCAGAAAACCTGTATGGGCAAGGTAGAGAATAAGAAGACTTCGCAGCAGTAGCCACTGGAGACATTCAGTAGAGTTTGGCCATGGGTGGAGGATCTGGTGGAGAGCCAGAACATTAAATATGGGGTTTAGTAATTGACACTTCTCCATCTGGCAGCCAGCGAAGCCCAGGAATATCATGGACCTGGCTACCAAGATCCAGGGCAAGACTGGCTGGATTTGGGGTGTGGAGTAGGAAGGAGGACAAAATAGTGGCTTTGTGAGACAAGACTGTGTCCTAGCACAGGACCATCATCACTGCACTAGCAATGAACTAACTGCTGGTTCTTCATCTTTCTGCCCTTAACTAAGGCTGGTCCCAGAGTCTAGGGCAGTGTCAAATCTATGGCTCAGTTTCTAAAGCATGCACCATGGATTACCTGCACCTCAATCACTCAGGGTGCTTGTTAAAATGTAGGTTCCAAGATCACTTCTCAGACCTAAAGAGCATTGTGGTTGGCAGCCCAGCAATATTCATTTTAAAATGAGATTACAAAGGACACCCGAATTTGAGAACCACTGCTATGGGCAATGCACATGTGGTCTCATGACTAATGGTTAGCAAGCATTGAAGGGGCAGGATGGGGAACACAGCAGATCATTAGAAAAATTGAAGGCTACTCAAAAATAATTATTTGAGGGGTGCCTGGGTGGCTCAGTCGGTTAAGCGTCTGCCTTCAGCTCAGGTCATGATCCCGGGGTCCTGGGATCGAGCCCTGCGTCAGGCTCCCTGCTCCACGGGAGCCTGCTTCTCCTCCTCCCCGCTCATGCTCTCTTCTCACTATCTCTGTCTCTCTCTCTCTCAAATAAATAAATAAATAAAATCTTCAAAAAAATAATTATTTGAGCAGAGCTGCTGGTACCGAATACTACAATTACTTGATCGATATAGTAAGGCCAAATGTATTTTAGAGTAGAGATACTAAAGAAGAAAAAATATCCTCATCCAATTCAAATA